GTTTCATGTTGAGGTGACATTGATTATAAATGCCATCCGATGCAGGTATTCGCTGACCATGATTCGAGCCTTAACCCGCTTGATGTTCCAAGATCTTGGCTGTGGAAGCTAAATCGGAGAACGGTGTACTTCGGAACCTCTATACCAACGATATTTAAAGGTAAAGATGGTACATTTTTATATTTTTACTAATGATTCAAACAATAGCACTCAGTATATGTTTCTTCTTGCCAGGGTTATCAACACCAGAAATTCAGCAATGCTTTTGGAGAGGTATGAGAAAATGTCACTTATCTGTTTCTGTATTATCGTAGTAGCTTTAATTTTTATTTTTATTTTCCTAAAAAGAGCTTTAATGTGGAATTTATCCATTAGTCCTTTCCATTGGCTATATGCATGCACAAAGTAGCCATTAGTCTATTATTGTTGACTTGTGTACGCACATATTCAAAACCTTGTACTTCTAAGAAAGGGAACGTAAGACCTACATCCTTTGGAATCTTGCAATTTCTAACATCTTAATCCTATGAGCTAATGATATTTTCAAAAATATATATTCCTTCTGGTAACTACTTGTGCAGATAGAGCTCTTTGATTAGCATTTTGTAGGTTCATACCAAGAATGTACTCAGACAAGCATGACAAGGATTATTGGTACACCTTGGGAAACCTAATTGCTAAGAGAGTGCACTTTCCTAACTTAGAATGAAAAATTCTGAAACTTGCCTAAGCATGGCTTTATTGCTTCATAGATTGCATTCTCAATGACTGTTGGAACATAAATGCATCTTATGGCTGAACTATAAGCAAATATGCTCAAGTTCACTTTTTTAGACTTAGTTGTTGTGTCACAAAATGTCTCAGCGAAAGTTCATAGAAATCTCTGTTTACTCAAAAGTTTGATTTGCAGGATTTGTCTGCGTGAGGGGATTTGACCAAAAAACACGAGGGCCACGTCCATTAATGGCCAGACTGCACTTCCCAGCCAGCAAGTTGTCCAGAACAAAAGATAAGAGAGATGAGTAGCCACCGAGAAGTTTCAATGCATGTCTAAAGAGCAAGACAAAGCCCACATTGAGTGGCACAACATTAAACATTTGTAAATTGGCTCGTGGAGCAAAAAGTGAGGTTCTAATTTAGTTGTTTGCTCACATGACTGAGAGGGCAATTAGCCATTTGTGTAAAAACGGCGAGCATAACCAAAAGATGTCATACAGTTTAATACACTAGCTAGTTTCTTGAGCAAATCACTTGAAGGTTGCGAGTTTAATAGCCAAAGGCATATTAGAAGATAGTGCAAGAACACCAAAGGAGCTAGTGCACAAGCATTCCAACTACACTGAAAAAAGTTATTTTACGAGCAACAAAATCTCGTTAAAATTAGTCATCCAAACATACAAAAAAACGGAGGATAAGATGTCCACTGAATACCAAATCCAGCTAATAACAAACACACATAAGTAACCTTTTAAAACAACCTAATCAGGCCCTACAATAAAGCCACCCTCCAATCAGAAAACTAGCAAAAGATCCAATTTCCTCCTCAACTATTATAATCTTTCATTTCCAATTTCTCACTGAAATTCATTTTCCTGCTCCCAGTAACCAACCTGCAGCACATTCTTGTGTTACTATCTCCCTTATTTGCCCTCTCTACTTCAACCTTTCGTCACCACATGAAAAAATGATTTCTTCTCTGAACACTAGCTCCTCAAACTTTAACCCTAACTTTGTCCGCTCACTTCCCCTTCTTCACTCAAACTGTCTTCTTCTTCTAACAAATTCATCCCCTCAATTCTCCCAAAACCTCATTTCAATCCCTCTCAACCTTGTCTTCTGTATTTTCTAAACAGATTGATGCTCCTGGAATTCTGATATTAAAAAATTGTTCACAGCATCTCCAACACATTCCCCTACCTAGCCATACACAAGCAATGTGTATACGTATATATAACTGTGAACGAAAAGTTCCTAACCATTTAGAGGGAAGAAGTTTGCGATCTATGAACTTTTTTCCTCAAAACTATTCAGGTTAACAGATTATGCATTTCTATAGGACTCAAAACACAAAATCGTCAACAGAGAGATCAACAGCGCCATCAATCGCCTGGAGACAATTGATACAATCACAAAGCACAGATGAGCACATTTCAAATTGCTAAGATGCACAGGCCGAAAGCAAAATCGAATACAATTACGGATAAAGAAATTCGAAAGTGAGCGCACCTTTGAACTTGCATCTGCTTGCGAGTTGCGAGAGCTGGATCGTGGATGGGAAGACTGAAAAGAGCGAATCTTCAAGCTAAAGCGATGGATAGAGAAACACTCTTGACTATTTTGCCGCCATAACGCCAATTTCCATTTTTGGTTTCCCTCCTAATCTGCACTCGTTTTACTATTTTATCGTTTAAAATGACGCGCAGTACGTGGCGAGTTATTGGCTGTTGGTGGATTCGGCGGGTTCTGCATTTCTCAAAAAGAGAAATATGTGTCTAGCTCACCAAACAACACACATTCTTGTCAATGAATTGAATTTTGATATGAAATTGAATTTATTCCAAATGAAAAATAATTAAGGGTTAACGACCCATGCAGGTTTGGGGTGATTTTCAATGTGGACCCTATGGTATCTATTTTATTAATTTACACCTTAACGTTGTCAACATCGTCCAATTTCATCATTCTATTAAGTCGATCATTCTTGTGGTCAATCGTTAAATGCTGATGTGACACCTGTGGAACCCACCCCACTAGTAGACTGACCATTTCACATACGAATTCGAAGGGCATTTTGGGGTTGGAAAATTCAAAAGAAAAAATCGAAATCGAGCCCAATTTGGCACGTGTTCCAATCATTCTTTATCAATTTGGAACCAAAACCCTCAAAAGTCGTCCTCAATCTCAGTTTTAACCTAAAACATAAAACTCCATAACTAAGGAGAGAGAGAAATCTAGGCGTTGCGATTTTGGAAGAATTGAGAAGAAATGAGTTGGAATTTCAGACCTCTAGGCGCTGCGCAGCTTGTGTACGATAAGTTCCTCTAAATTTTTGCAATTTCAATTATCTGTGATGAAGGGGTTTGAGGTTGTATGGGTTATTGTGCTTTGAGTGGTGTATTTTATAATCCTTGTAGAATAGTGGGAAAAGTATGAAAGAATGAAGGGTTATTATTGTTTATAAGGGTTATTGTCGTTTTATAAGAGTTGTCGAATATAGGTGGTCCTTATGCAAAATTGTTTTATAAGGGTTTTGCATGTGCTGGCAATGTCTGCGTTTAATAAGGCCAAAGTGTTAGGTGGAATGGTGTGAAAAGGGTTGTTTAATAGAAACTTTGCATTTTCTATAATGGTCCTAAAATGAAAATAATTGAATACTGTGTTTTGTCTAATGGTTTATATGATGTGGTCTCCTTGTTTAGGACATGTAATATGTAGGTGACCCTGAAATGTTTTCTTTTCAAATGTAATATGGTAGTCAAATCCGTGATAACTATTATGCTTGTTGCAATATAGATTGGGTTGATTGTTGTGACAAGAATAGAATGTCAATGACTGAGATAGACAATATGGTAAAGGAGTTAGGCTACAATGGGGTGATTAGTTACTGGTATAGTATCCCTACCTATAGCAATGATGGCCTAACAAAGCTTAATGATGATCAAGATGTCATAGACATGCTTGTATTTGTACCATATACAAGGCTAACAGACATCTTCCTACATTATGGGGTGATAGTAATGAGGACATGTTTTATAGTCAAGCAAGATCAAATGTGTTCATTGATTTAGGAGATGATATTGTGCCTAACAAAGGAGTTGTGATTGAGAAGCTTAATGACAATTATGGGGTTATTGTTCTTATTGGTGGGAAAGGCAAACAAGGGAGATAACATGAAAAAAAAAAAACAAACAAACAAACAAACAAACATGTGTTTTGATAGAAGAGCTCAATGAAGACCCAAAAGGGGAACAAAGTGGTAGGGGTATGCAAAAGGCAAGTGAATGTTGTACAAAGGCTGTTTCTGAAATAGGCCAAGAAACAACACATGAAAGGGAATCTTCTTTGTGCAAAAAGGCAAAGAAAAAGCAGTAGAGAGAGAATCTTATGCAGTGGAAAATGGCAATGAAAAAGCAAAAAAGTGGGAATATTCCCCGATAGACAAAGGGAAAAGTAAAGTCACTTCTATTTTTGGGAAGAAGAGGGCAAGAGTCTTTGGTATAAGACACTTTTTAAAGAAAACCAAAGTTCCAATACAGTAACTGAATGACTATTTGAGAATGAAGTTGTTAAAGCAACTGTAGAAAAAAGTAAGTTATCAAGATGTCATCTAATGAGAACAAGAAAAGCAAAGAAAATGACCACAATCTATGATGATGAGGAGTCAGCAGACAGTCTTGACTTTGATTTTGTAGAACTTCAGTTATGATGATAATGACGATGATCTTGATTTTGATGAATGGGTGGAGAAACATATTGAGTGGGTTGGAGATAAGGCAAAATGAAAAGAGCCAGACTCAACAAATGCTCAGGTTGAAGATTGGGATTGGAGTACATATGTTGAACTAGATTCAGAGGAGTATGATTATGATAATGTGCAGCCTAAATATGACTATGATGATGACACTCCAATGAAGGATAGAAAGGCATAGTTCAATCCGGCAACTAACATGGGAGATCCACAGTTTGAGATTGGGATGAAGTTTAGTGATTGTAAAGTTTTTAGAGCTGCTGTCATAGAACAATTTATAAAGATGAATAGGAATGTTGTATTTGTGAGAAGTGAGGCTTTTAAGCTAAGGGTTGTTTGTGCATATCCAAATTGTCCGTGGGAGATATATGTTTCTAAAATGCAATATGAGAAGACTCTTCATGTTAAGAAATATGAGGGTGAACGCACTTGTGGTATTATTTAGGAGAACCCCATTATCAAGTCTAGTTGGATAAGTACCAAATATATGGAAACATTGAAGACCAATCCAACTTGGCCAATTAACTCATTCATGGAGACTATGGAGAATGACTATAACACTGGAGTTTCTAGGCGACAAGTTTATAGGACAAAAGAGAGGGCATTCAGGCAAATTGAAGGAGTATTCACAGAACAATACTCCATAATTTGGAATTATTGTGAAGAGTTAAGGAAGACCAACCAGGAACAACAACGAAAGTTCAATGTGATTTCAATGAACAATTAGGTAATCCAGTGTTTCAAATGTTATATGTATGTCTAGGTGCATGTAAAGCAGGGTTTATTGTTGGATGTAGACCCATTATTGAATTAGATGGCTGTTTCTTGAATGGTGTATATGGAGGGCAATTGTTAACAACAGTTGCTATAGATGTTAATAACGAAACAGGGGAATTAAATTATGGGACCCATGACTTTAAGTACATGACTTTTACAAATTAGTATGTATCAATTGGGAATAGTCATGGTCTTAACAGAGGAAAAATAAAATATTATTTATTTTGTTTGTGAATAAAATAATAATACTTTATGTGAAAAGTTGCATTGTTTAATAATTGAAACATTACACTTCTTGGTTTATGGTTGTAACAGGAAAAGACACATTTGTTGATATTTTTTAGTCACATCTTTTCTGAACAGAGGCCTTACTGCCTATAAATAGAGAAGGTCCTACAACATTTCATTCATCTAATTGTCATCCAACAATAGTAGTTTTTAGAGCATTCATAGTTTTGTATTTTCATAAATATAGTGAGTTAGTAAGAGATAGTTCATACATAAATTTGAATTCACTTTTTTTGGGGATTTATAGTGCTACTTCAACAAGAAGTCGATTGTTGTATCCTGGGAGACGTTTACCAAGCAAATCCTAAAAGCACATGTGATGAGGCAATTTCGTCTTAAGGAGATAGAACCAAGTTCTGGACTCGATCATCTGTAAAGTATTCTTAAAATTTTCATTGTCATTATTTCTTGTATTTATTTCAAATTTATAGTGAAATTTTATTTTTGAAATTCTGTAAATATAACAATTATCTTTATTTTTTACCAACAGTGGTTGAGTTTGAGTGCAATGACTCATGGGTTTGGTTTCTGAAATTGCTGATAAAGGAGGTTGAAATTGTTAACCAGTTTGGATACACTTTCATATTAGATAAGCAAAAATGGTTATTACATGCTTTTGAGCAAGTTGTTCCTAACAATGAGCACAAGTTTTGTGTAGGACATTTTTTCACAAACTTCAAGTTACAATTCAAAGGAACAAGCTTTGTCTGACAAATTTTGGGGTGCTTTAAAAGCAACAATTGTTCCACACTTTGCAAGACATATGGAAGAGCTGAAAAATCTTGATAAGGATTCTTATGAATGGCTGACTCAACCAGAAAATCCTCTTAGGCATTTGTCTCGATCATAATTCAGCACTCATGTGAAAAGTGTGATATGCTTTTAAACAATCTATGTGAGTCATTCAACTCATTCATATTGGCATGCAAAGATAAGCAAATACTAACCATGCTTATGATAATTAGGTGTAAGTTGATGAGGAGGATACAAGACAGAAAGGACAAAATGAAAAAATGGACAAAGTCAATTTGCCCTAGGATTTTTAATAAGGTAGAGATAAATAAGGCAAAAGCAGGTGGTTGTGTCATTATGTGGCCAAGTGGAGGCAATTTTCAAGTTGATACTGGTAAGATATCACAGTATATTGTGGACTTGAATTTGAGGACTTGTTCTTGCAAAGAATGAGATTTAACTGGTTGGCCCTATGTTCATGTAGTGACGGCTATAAATTACAATGACGGCTTGAACGTAATGGATTTTATGGATGCATGTTATTCTATTCAGACATATTTCAAGGCATATGAAAACCTCATACTAACTATGAATGTGATGGAGTTGTGGGATAGAACTAATATGTCACCATGTGTGCCTCCTTCATGTTCCTAACAACCTGGAAGGCCAATGAAGGCCAGAAGAAAGGAAGCATGAGAGCTAGATAGCAAGACTCAACATAAGGGTGAGTCAAGCAAGAAGGCTAATGTTGTTTCACATGTTCAAGACTCACTGAAGTATGACCAATATGGAAAAAAGCCACAATAAAAGGACTTGCTATAAGAATCTTCCCTTCAAAACAAAAATAAAAAATAGGAAGCCTGAGGTAAACATCTAAGGATGAACACTTGTTACTTTTATGTTTTTAGATAGAATCCTGCAACTAACTATATATTATTTTTTGCCTCAACCTAGCAAACTATTGAAACAAGTGAAGCTGGTCCCAGTACAAGAACAAGGCGAGCTAAGCCCGCTAAAGTTGTGCAGAAAGGAAAATGGAAGAGAAAGGACACCAATGCAGCTGGGAGTTCAATTGTACCACCAAGTGATTCAGCTGCTCCATCATCAACATTTGCTTATTCTGCATCAATTGAAGCTTTAACTGGAAATTATTATGTATTAAGGAAACAACCTGTGGTGCTGGGAGTATCAGACCTGAGCAAGGAATTATGACAATCTTGCAATTAGTCATTTTGAAATGCACACGTGTCCTTGTTGTTATTTTGAATTCACATACTTGTATTAGCTGGTTGGGTTATGTTATTATGGATTTACAAGACAGTTTTAGCTGGTTGGGTTATTTCGGAAGACAAGTTGGCTTATTTTGGAAGATAGCTTGTGTTATTTTGGAAGACAGGTTCTGCTTTTTTTGGAAGATAGGTTCTGTTTTTTTTGGAAGACAAGTTCTGTTATTTTAGAAGGTTGTCAATGTTATTTTGTGGCTTATTTTGTTGTCATGCTGCAAGTGGAAATGAATTTGTATGTAAAAACAAGTTGTTGGAATGAAGATGTTGATTTTGTACATATCAAAAGTCTGATTACATCTTGCATTACCAAAACATCACATTATATGCATATTACATTATTCACATTCCAATGCCTATTACATAGCCAAAATGCTCATTCCCATTACATAACCAAAAGCACAGTACATCCTTCAAAAACCCCATTCCATCTGATCAACCGTTCCCTCCAAATATGAACCTTGCAATCAGTATCCATGACATCACCAATACTGCCCAAAGAACCTTTTCTCTACGTCTTGCCTTTCCTAGTGAATTCTCCAGAAATCACAACCTCTTTTACCTTGCACAAAACCCACTATGTAAATTTATATTTGCACCTGCTACAATTCAAAATCTCATATTTTACCTCAAGTCCAGTTTTTTTAAACCTTTGTACACACATCAAATCGCCTCCCAAGATTCGAAATTGTTAAAGAGGTTCGGATTCTCGCATTTTTACTACACCAACACACCATCGCATGTTCCTCCATTTCTCTTTTGTTTTTTGGGTTAACGCACCACTATAGTCGAATAAACCATTTGGGTTGCTCACTTATTCCAAATTGTAGCTCTCAACTATTAACTATGGAGTTTTAGGTGGCCTTAGGTTAAATGTGAGGTTGACAATGACTGATGGGGTTAAAGGCTAATCGTGTCAAATTGGGCCCAAGTTTGATTTTTTTTAAAAAAAAATTTCCAACTCAAAAATACCCTTCGAATTTTGTACGTGGAATGGTCAGTCCGTTGGTAAGGTGAGTCCCACAGGTGACACGTCAGCATTTAACGATTGACCACACAGTCAACTTAATAGAATAATGAAATTGGACGATGTTGAAAATGTTCTGGTGTAAATTGATAAAATTGATACCATGGGGTCCATATTGAGAACCACCCCAAACCTGCAGGGTGTCTTTTGTCGTTAGCACAATAACAAATAAGATATCAATCAAAACTTTCAATGGAAATATGATAATTTGTTGTTTTAACAAATCAAATATTTATAATTAATTTGATTATAGGATTTGTTTGAGACTACTTTTCTAAGAAACATTTTTGCTTATAATTTATAAACACTTCTAAAAGGTATTGTTATTATAAAAACATTGAAATTTGCATAAGAAATTCAGAAGCACTTGGAAGTGCTTTATGAAAAAGCATATAACATATGATTCTTCAAAAAGTATGTCAAACAAGCTACATCAGCAAGTTATTTAGGAGTTAGTTGAATAGGGAAGCTATGTAATTTGTTAGTTAGTTTGTGGGACTGAGGAGGGAAAGAATGTATAAATGTGGCGAAGGTGTTTGATAGTAGGTCACTGAGAAAGTAATAACTAAAGCTTCAGAGGCTTCTTTTCAATATCAGCATGAAACTCCATTTCATTTTCATTGCAACACAGTTAGGTAGAAAGGTCAGTTCCTTGGAAGCCCAATTAATAAAGTAGGATCTTTAATTACACAATTTTTCTTTCAGAATTTTTTTTTATAACCATTAAAGCTTGGCATGTTATTGCTTTTCTAATCAGCAAGTTTAGTAGTTTTTTGGCATTTCTTTATTAAATTCTTAAATGTGTTGTCTAAGATTATCACTTTCGATATTTTTTTTTTTGCAAGAATATAGGCTAAGATGAACGCAGAATCCAATCCATTGTTTAAATTTTCACTATAAGTTTGCTAAGTATTAGTGTATCTTGGTGAAAAAAGTTGTTCTTGGTATTGAATTGTTTCTTGTCTTGGAAAAATTAATAGGGTCGTCTATTTATACTAAAATTTTGAACCTTTTAGAGTTGGCTTGAATTGGCCCTAAATATACTTGACTAGGAATGAGTTATCATGTATAGAACATAAATGGAAATACTTTTCTTGAGTTGAGTTTTATGGTGCATGAAACGAAGTAGCTAGCTGGACAATGTCTAGTTACCTAGAATTTTTATTTTTATTTTTTGGTGGGTTTGTGGTTACCTAAATATATCATATGTTTTATAGCCCTACATGCATATTTTAATTTTCTCAACATGGCTCCCTTTTCTTTTTGGTTTTCTTGGGCATGTGGATCACACATATATGCACTTAAGAAAGTGCAATTGGTTCAAATTCATTATGGATTGTCTCATTGTGTTATTAAATTTAGGCATTATGTAGTAATCACCTTTTCATATTTTAGGTGAATTGTTTAAGAACAGGTTGGCATATGTGGAATAGAGTTATGGCTTGCTCTAAAGCTAGGAGTTGTAAAGTATCAAAGCCAATACAAGCCAATGATGCTATAAGGAAGCCACGGATTCTACTTGCTGCTACATGAAGTGTAGCTGCCTTAAGGTTTGATAACATCTGCCATAATTTTTCTCAATGGGCAGAAGTAAAAGCAATTGCCATAGGAGGAGCTTTGCATTTCCTTGATAGAGCATCACTTCCAATAATGTAATTCTTTACACTTATGGGGATGAGTGGTCCAGTTGGAACAATATGGGTGATAGCGTGCTTCACATCGAGCTTCGTTGTTGGGCTGATATCATGGTTATTGCTTCATTATCAGCAAACACACTGAGCAAGGTAATATTTCATAACCTAGATGTCTCGTTACTTTATAAAGTTGTTTTGAGTTAGTATATGGTAGAAAAGGTCATACCTAGCTAAAACTGAAAGTACCTTATGGCATTAATTTTCTAAGATACAACCTTTTGAGATTATCAAATGGATAAGAACAATCTCATTCACAAGGCAACCAAGCTGACAATTGTTTTATATTTGGGACTTATTAGTGAAATTTAGTTGTTTGTAGGCAACTGCATCTTGCGAGGAATTGCAGAAAGCAGAGAAGGTTCATGCTTTTAGAGTTAGGGATTGTATTGCTTCATGATTGCCTTATTTTTTTGTCATTTCACTCAGACATGGAAAATACAAATTAATTTGCTTTGGTAAATTTGGCCCAATATCATTAATTGTATACATACATGCATGTATGCTTGTTTGTCTTTGCTATGCTTTATTTGGTTTAATGTATGAAATCTATAGTTTGTACTCCTACATTTGTGTATGTGTTTTATAATTGATGTCCCATGTTTGTGTAGATTGCTAAGGGATTGTGTGACAATCTACTCACCTGTGTTGTGCATGCATGGGATTACAGCAAGCCTTTTTTTGTTGCACCAGCCATGAACACCTTATTGTGAAGCAGTTTCTTCACGGAGCAACATATGATGTCTATTGATGAACAAGGAATTTCTCTCGTCCCAAAAATCAGTGGTGCAATGGCTGAACCTTCCATAATCCACTCTACTATAAGACTCTTTTACAGTCACGATTTCAACAATGTGACATTATTTCTTAGCAATATGTTTTCTTTGTGATTTGTTGGGCATACAGACTGGTCTAAATTGAGGCTTTATGCATAGCCTGATTTTATTTTATTTTAATAACATGTTGGCATCTTATGAATAGGTTATGACTTGTGCTGGACCTGGGATCTCTCTTTGGGAGCCAACGTAAGATGACGCTGCTCTAAGCAAGCCACAGATTCTCCTCGCTGCTAGCAGAAGTATAGCTGCCACAAAGTTTGCTCATCTCTGCTGTAGTTTTTTTGGATGGTCAAAAGTAAAAGCAGTTGCTACAAAAACATATTTTCATTTCATTGATAGAGCATCACTCTCCAGGGATGTAATACTTTACACTGATGAGGATGAACAGTCCAGATGGAACACAATAGGTGATAGCTTGCTTCCCATTGAGCTCTGCGATTGGGCTGATATCATGGTTATTGCCCCATTATCAGCAAACACACCAAGCAAGGTAATATTTAACATTCTGGAAATCTCATTACCTTATAAAGTTGTTTTAAGTTAGTATTTCAAAAGAAACTTTATTTTTCTTATGTTTCTGTAGATTGCTAAGGGATTGTGTGACAATTTGCTCTCCTTTGTTGGATATGCATGGGATTTTAGCAAGCCTTTATTTGTTGCACCGGCCATGAACACCTTGATGTGGAACAATTTGTTCATGCAATGACATATCAGGACGATCAAAGATGAACTTAGAGTTTCACTCATCCTTCCTCTCACTATAAATGGTGCAATGGCTGAAATTGATGAGATTTACTGTGCTGTATGACGCTGTTTACTATCACGAACTTTGAGAGGCCATGTTGCCAGTATATAAATGTTGTTTAGTAAGTAGTGTAACGCTGCCATCTTAAGACATGATCATAGAATTTGAATCGCAATATATAATTGGTTGTCCCATAATTGGCTCTAAATCTCATAAGAAATTATCCATGTTTTATCTTAGGAAGCATCTGAGATTATAATGATAATAGTAATTAGGTGATTGCAGTGGGCTGGCTTTATTTGAGAATGATACAGTGTTCAAAGAAGCGACACATCTCAAAAAGGCGATGAGGGGAAGCTCTTTGATGTCATCTTTGCTATTGTGGATATCATATCACCCTCAACATGAGACTGATGTTATCTTAAGTGATGACTCCATCACATCCATAATTACTGAAAGCATCTTGACCTTTTATCAATGTGGTAAAACGAAAGGAGCACCTTCTATTAAGAGAGTGCAATATTGATGCAATGAAAGAATTTTGCTAACGTGAATTGCCCATTTGAATGTGGATAATTTATGACCATTCACCAAATATGAGTTCCCCATTTATCCACGGCCAAAAATCATATACTAATTGACTGCATCATAGCTTTCCATTTTAATTTATGACTATTGATGAAATAGGGGTTCCCCAATCATCTACTGCCAGAAATTGTACATCAATTGACTGTAACATAGCTCTCTAGTGTAATTTATGACCACTGATTGAATATGGGTTCACTAATTATCTATGACCATAAATTGTACACCAATTGAACTGTAGCATAGCTCTCTATAGTAACTTATGAACATTGACCAAATATGGGTTCCCCAATCATATACGGCCAAAAATGATGCACGTAATTGTCTAAAGATAAGGGAAGCGTGCATTGGCGACTTCATTTTTTGTGGGCCAGACATTTCTCTCAATAAACCAAACACAACGTTGTTTATGGTTATATAAAATGGACTAATCAAATGAAATTTAGTTAACCTAATTTATGAGGTTTCCTCTAATGTCACAAAGATTATCGTAAAAAATATTACACCCAACACGAGCCTCAGGACATACATTTCTTGCAAGAAACCAAACACAATGTTGTTTATGGTTATGTAAAGTGGACCAATCAAATGAAGTTCAGTTAACCCGCTTTATGAGGTTTCCTCTAACGTCACAAAGATCACACTGAACTTGGGCCTCATGGCAAACATTTCTCACAAGAAACCAAGACAACATTGTTTATGGTTATGTAAAATGGACCAATCAAATGAAGTTTAGTTAACCCATTTTATGAAGGTTCCTCTGACGTCACAAAGATCAGACCCAAACCCGAGTCTTAGATACAACGTTATTGGTCAAAGTTAATTGGAGAAACAATAATTCTGACAAAACACATTGCGTGTATGACGCCACCTACTCTAACATAAAGAAGGGAGATTCAAATTCAAAAGCCAATTAACATAACTCACTTTTACGTACGTTTCGACACTTCTAATCCTAGAAATAAATAGTCAAATTACATTACTTAATACTAATTTTACCATTAGAAACAAATATCCAAAATACACAAAGTGGATGATGCGAGCAGAGTTCACGTTATAACGACACCATTTCTTTTAATAATTTTTGTCATTTGCAGAAAATGCTTAATGGGGAAAATAGGGTTATTTATTCAAATGGTCCTCAAATTTATGCCCAAATTGCATTTTAGCCCCTCAATTAAATTATTCTTTCAAATGGTCCATCAACTCTTTATTAATTGACGAATTTGTCCTACCATTGCATTTTCTATTAAATTTAGTCATGTGAGCAGCACATGTCATTTGCTGAAGTAAATAAGACGTTTGACAACTTAAAAAAAATAAAATATATGGTTAAAAATTAGGGAGTTTCACTAAAACACCCAAAATGGGGGCTAAAATTATAAAAAAACCAAACACCCAAAACACTTTATAAACACACCCAAAACCCATCATTACACACACTCAAAACCCATTTATAAACACACCCAAAAAATATACAATTGTTGATTTTGGGTGTGTTTCTATGTTTAAATAGTGCTTGGGTTTTTTTTTATAAATACATGTCTAGGATTGAGTTTATTTATAAATTTGTATAAAAATTAATGTAAAATTTTCTTTATTTTTAAATTAATTAAAAATTATAAAAGAATAAAACAAAAACAAACCCACCCAAAAAAAAAAAAAAAAAAAAAAAAAAAAAAAAAAAAAAAAAAACCAACCACCTCTCTCCTAGCCTCTTCCCCTCTCTCCCTTTCGTCTTCAATTTCCTAAATTTAGTAGAGGGCATGCATATGCGTCTACATGGGTCTGGGTTTGTTTGAAGAGAGAAAGGGGGAAGAGAGAGATAGAGGGAGCGATGAGGAGGCGAAGAGAGGGTGGGCTGCGTGGAGGAGAAGATGGGGTGCTAGGACTGTGCTTATCAAGCTAGGGGCTGAGAGGTGGGAGAGGGAGAGATGTTTTTTTCCTTTTGATTTTTAGTTTTTAATTTATTTTATTTAACTGGACTATTTTATTCTTACATTTGACAACAACATTGACAAAATGTAATGATTTGACTAATTCGTCGATTAATATAGAGTTAGTGGATTATTTGAACGAATAATTTAATTGAAAGAACAAAATGCAACTCGAATATGAGTTTGAAAATCATTTGAAAGAATAACTCGGAGAAAATAATATAAAGAATGACGTACATACCAAATACCATGACAAAGAAAGAAAATCCTTAAAAATGAAAAAGAAACATAGATGCATTGAACCCCACCCAACTTTTGTACCAAAAATTGAAATCATGCATGTACCTCAAAAAAAGAAAATTAATAATAAATCACCACCTAACTGTCCTAACCCAATCATTAAATTGCCCCCCAAGCCCAATTAAACAACAATTAATCACTCGCGTGTTAAGCCATGAGCCACAGACAAAAAGGAAACAAGGAATTCTTGATCAAGCGTGTGAAGGCAAAATGGGGTCTGGGGCAAGCACGCACCGAAAAGCACAATCCAAAATTAATATTAATTACTTTTAATTAAGTTTTTTTAAAGGAAAAAATTTGAAACAATATTTACGATTACGCCACCGAATGAAAACCTCACCACCGCTTTCGCTTTTTCTCTCTCCGACAGTGGAAAATTATAGAGAGAGAAACTCGACCTTCTCTGAAGTCCTCTGAGTCCTGTGACCTTTTTGTTTTCAACGATGGCGGGTTTAAGAGTTTCTAGGGTTTTGTGACGAATCGATTTCTCCAAAGTCTCGATGGAAATGCCCGGTAGGAGATCGAACTACACGCTTCTGAGCCAAGTCCCCGACGAACAGACGGCGGCGTTTTACGAGTCGGAGAGCAAGAACAACAAGGGAAAAGCTGAGAGAGGATTCGAGTGGGAAACTGGAGCGGATTTTCGGGCGAATCGGGTAGGGAACCCGTACTCGTCAGTCGGGTTACAGAGGCAGTCGAGTGGGAGCAGTTTCGGCGAGAGCTCGCTCTCCGGCGAATACTACGCTCCGACTCTATCGAATACAGCGGCCAATGAGATCGATGGGTTCGGGTACGTGCCCGACGATGTGTTCAAGGTGGGGGGAGGTGGTGAATTTCGAATGAAAGGTGGGGATGGAGCTGTAGGGACCACCGGTGGCGGTGGCTCGTCTTCGGGGAAGAGCTGGGCTCAGCAGACTGAGGAGAGTTATCAGCTGCAGCTGGCTTTGGCTCTTCGGCTGTCTTCGGAGGCCACTTGCGCCGATGATCCCAATTTCTTGGATCTAGTGCCGGATGTATCGGCATCGAGGTCGTCCGGCTCCGTTGACGCTGTTTCGCATCGGTTTTGGGTAGGGTTTCTTGTGCTTTCTGTCCTCAATGGATATTTTTGATATGCTATGTTACATTGGGTGTTTGGTTTGCTGCTTTGCTTTGTTAATTGAGTCAAGTTATATGCTCATTTTCACGTCTTTTGAGCTGAATTCTTAGTGTCTTACGAATTATGTCTTAATCATATTGATAAACTAACATTATCTGAAATGCCCTATATTATTCCATTCCTTTCACGTGCTTCACATCAAACAAGAAAACAATGTTCATGATGGAACTGATTTCTTTCACAACCTAGCCTATTGCTTGAGCAAGCAATTGATCACTGAACAATGTATGACCTCAGTTAAACCAAATGGGCATTTCTTACATTATCGTATTCAATTTCTAAGAAAAATGTGTTATGTAGCATTGTGTGATCCTATGTTAGGTTGCAGCTCAGTTTTATGAGTGGATTTACATCTTTAAGGTAAAACTAATTTAATACAGTCACAAAACTGTTATGCAAGAGGAAATAGTCAGTAACGGACTTTGGAAATGTAATGCCTCTTTGGGTCTGACCTTACAGTAACTGGAAAGATAGATTAATAAATTCCTGTAGAATGTTGTCAATGAATTAAGATTTCACTTACTAAAATTGTTTGTTATGGAAGTTACGTTTTTGTAATAAATATAACTATGGATATGGGTATATAGGTATGTTAGGAATAGTTTTCTCTTGTAAGGTATGGTAAAATCATGTTGTGTGGTCCAGATTCACAGCCTAACAACATTGCATGTCAGATATCTAACAAGAGATCATATATTCCACTTCCTCGCCCAAAATTTCTCAGAAAGCTAATGGAGTTTAAGAAATGCTTCTGAAACATCATTGTTCGTAAATTTGGTTTGCATTTTCTGGTGATAAATGGATTAATCCTATCCTATTGATATAATGCGCATCAGGTGAATGGCTGCCTATCGTACTTTGACATAGTGCCTGATGGATTTTACCTAATTCATGGGATAGATCCGTATGTATGGACGGTGTGCACTGATATGCAAGAGAATGGTCGTATACCATCAATTGAATCATTAAGGTCTGTTGATCCT